TTAGATCACTAGTTTAATTGAAATGTGTAGGACTACCTCACACAATTTTAAAGGTTTGTAAAGCAAGTTTTTGGCTGACAGACATTCTTTGTAGGTTAACTAACTTATTTTGGAAAGAAAAATAAAGTTCCAACTGCAGTCTAGTTTGAGGTAGTCTCTCAAGGGTGTTCCTATTACTATCGATAGATACTTGACCTAGCAGTGAAGCATGGAGGTTTGTACTTAGATCTGTCTAGACCTACCTGGTCTGCACTGCCTTCTGAGCTGTATTCCCAGGGTGAAGAGATATTCTATCTTTCCAGTAAGTGTGATCTATTTATATATAAGTGAGTAATTATTCTTAAAAGTGAGAAAATGGGACAGATTGTTTTATCTTCATTGCTGACTTTTTTTTTTTTTCTCTGCTTAGCTTTTGTCTTTGTAATTTAGGGTGCGAGTGACTACAATTTTATCTAAACCCCTCATATGGATTTTTTTTGTAAAGATTTTATTTATTTATTTGACAGAGAGAGACACAGCGAGAGAGGGAACACAAGCAGGGGGAGTGGGAGAGGGAGAGGGAGAAACAGGCTTCCCGCCGAGCAGGGAGCCCAATGCGGGGCTCGATCCCAGGACCCTTAGATCATGACCTGAGCCGAAGGCAGACACTTAAGGAATGAGCCACCCAGACGCCCCCCCATATGGATTTTAATGACCAAATTGTAAACATATTCCATTTTAATTTAACCAGTTAAATTACAGTTATGTGTAACCCTGAAGCTTTCTTTAGAGGTAGCTATGCTGTAAAAGAAAAAAATGTGACTTGGGAGTCAAAGGAACTTTTATTTGTATCTCAGCTCAGAGACATACCCTCTTTGGGACCTGGGGACATAATTGTCTCGTGTTCAGCAGAGCCTCCAAATATATGAGACCTGCTGTCATCAGCTTATCCTCCATTGCCTTTCATAGTTTCAGTAGGAATAAGCTTAAGAGAGGTAGTTGATTATGATAGTTCAGATAGTGGGTCTAAGAATTAGGTCTTGCCGGTGTCTTGTTTCTAAGTCTTATTTCTGCCAGAGTCTTGTTATGATAGTTTGGACAGTAGTTCAAAGAGCCAAGCATTGCCTGAGTCTTGTTTTCTGAGTCTTTTTTCTCCAGGTGATGAGACCTTGAGAAAATTACTTTAACCTTGCTAAGCTTCAGTTTCCTTCTTTCTAAAATCATAATAGTAATATCACCTAAAACATATGGTCTTGGTAGAATTAAATGAGACAATGCAGGTAAAGAAATTGACACAGTTGTGTAGTATAGAGTAAGCATGCAATATAATTTGATGGTAATAGTAATATTATCAAAATGATAAAGTAATTAACCTGTGTGTCTCCTGTACTTTTTTCCTCTTCTCTTCCACCCCTCCCTTTTTTCCCTCCTATTTTCCATCAAGAGAAAAGTCAAGGCAAGGGACTATAAAGCCAGTATGAGAGGGTGGAAGACTTAGCAAGAGCAGCTCATTCAATCTCTACAATTTAGAGTTGGGAGTGAGAGACGCCCCTTAAACCTGATCTTGAAAGACATTCTAAAACCTTTACCTTTTGAGAACCCCCTGAGCGCAACTGCATAGAAGAAATCTACTTTCATGAAGTCATTCCTGGTTAATGTCACTTCCTGACTAACCTCTTATTGACCCAACCCCATACATTGATGTATTCCTTTTTTGTGAGGTTGTATTTATCCATTCTCCACAATCTATACATTTCCCTACTTTGCAGCCCATTTTTGTTATGTATTTACCACTTATCAAAACATGATGTAGATTAATACATTCAAGTACTTACTGATATTTCTCATATTTTGTAACTTTAAAAATCATTTAAACCATTTTGCTTTATTAAATGTAGAGCTCTGAGCAAAAACCAGAGAGAAAGCTGTGAACTGTGGGTAGATTGTCTGGATTCAAATCTAACTCCACCTCTACATGCTAGTTGCTTAGGCCAGTTACTTAACTGTTCTCTGCCTCAATTTTCTACTTGGTACAAACTCAGTGGATTTTCACCTGGATGATGGTTGCAAAAATTTAAAGGGAATGATTTAAAGAGAATGCCTCATATGTAGTAAATACTAAATGAGTGTTAAGTAATACTATTACTAGTATAAGACAGATTTTCAAGCATATGCATTCCTGTGAAAATAAGAAAAACACTTTTGAAACACTAGGGTTTTCTCACTACTTTTCAAAGGTGAAAGAATTTGCATATGTATGGTTTTGCAAAGAAGACAGTAAAGTTGAGTCTGACAGGATAGCAAGTATAAATGGAAAATAACTCCATATTATTACATAAAACGACCAGTCTAAAAGTAGGACAGAAATAACACTCTAAACTGGTGAAAATATCATAGAGAGTAGTTTCAGAAGTTCTGTGTATCCCCTTATCATAAATCAACATATTTTAAACTGGAAATTGAAGAAGTAATTTGCTCAGCAACTTTTTAACTATTTAGAATTTTTTTCTCTAGTATTTACCTTCTATTTAATAAATACTATCTTTCTTTTATAATTACATTTAAAATCACAGATCTCAAATAGTTTTATTATCAACTAGTGTGTCCTCTGCTCTTGATGCTGAAACTATGTACCAAAAACAATTTTTCAAATGCTTAATTTGACAAAATTCTTCCTTAACATTGTCATTTTAGATAAGATTACTCTTCTAGGATTTTCATATAAGTCATATAAGATCATGTAAGTCAGTAAATCATGGCAGAATAGTAACAAATATCATATTTATTTTAGTTATTTTGTGGAACTAGATCAAAATTTTCATCTTGAAAATTATCAAATGGTATTTAGCAAACTCCTATCTTAAAGAAACTGTAGAAAATAAATAAAAAGAAAAAAAATTAAATTCTATTAATAACTAACTTTCAAGAGTAATCATTGGTTTCATTTTAGTGTATTTTCTTCATTTCAATCTGCTGTTGCTGTTGATATAACATGTTATATGGTGGTTAAGAATACTAGCTGTGAGCAGAGAGGCTGAGTCTGGGGCCTCTCTATTTGTTAACTGTATGACTTTGCTTAGTTCCTTAACATCTATCAAACTTGGTTTCATCATTTGTAAAATGGGAACAAGAGTAGCGCTTTTATTAAACCATTATTGTGAGAATTATATAAATTAAGTAGTACATATGAAGTACCCATAAAGATATATAAAGGCTTATGCTGGACATACAGCTCTGTATAATCAATTTTTACACTTAGCATCATATTCACATGTGATTTCTCGTCTAACTGATTATTTTTCAAAACATGGTTCTTAGTGGTTATATAAAACATCATTGCGATTTTACTCTATTTCCTTAGCTTGAACATTCAGCAGGTTTCCACTTTTTAAAAAAAAATAAATCATGTATATAGCTTTTGTTCTTATCTCTGATTTGCTTAGGGCAAATTCCAGAAAGAAATTACTGGGTTAAAAAGAACATGGATATTTTTAAGGCTCTTTTGTGGTTTTGCAAAATTGTCCTTTACCTTCCCCCGAGTAGTGTGTGAAAGTGTTCATGCCTCTTTACCTTTGTTCACAGTGATTTTTTTTTAATTCATTTTATTTTGAAATCAAATGTGTCTTTCATATCTTGGTAACTGTTTTTATGACCACCTGTGTGCTATCTAAGATATGTCCCCTGAATGTTACCTCAGGCCAAAGACAAATATCAGTCTAATCCTCAGGCTCATGATGTATGCCCGTATCAACTCCATGATCCTAGTTACACTCTGCAGCCATCAGAGGATGCGAAAGTAATCAGCTGGTATTTACAAAGTGAAGGTTAGGAATCTGAGCTATGTTCCCCAAAGATTTATGAACTATAAAATGGCATTCTTGTTATGTTCTGTCACTGCATTGTGCTCTTTAGCTGTCTTCCATTTTATGTGGTAAAGCTCCCTAGGATCCATTTGCATGAAAGCGACTGTGTGTACTCATTTTGTATTGTGTGGTGGCAAACGCTATAATCTACAGGGTTCCTATTCATTTTGGAATTCATTTCACAGCTCACTAATTGTGTGAATGAGAAGAGGAAATATATGCTTTTATTCTGAAGCATGCCAAGCAGATGGCCCAAAAGTTCATTGCTAGCATTACAGTTAGAGTGGTCCTCTTCTGTAGGTTGTGAGCCTGGCATTGATCCGTCAGACACAAAGCAAGGGTCCATTTAACACAGCAGTTAACTGTCACTGAGCCTCTGGTTTGTTATGACTTATAAACATTTTGTTTTTTAACATCAACTTCTAAAGTGGTCAGTCATTTGAGCAGGTGCAAACAGTAGAATTCATATCCGTCTTACTTGAGAAGACAAAATGAACTTTTATTCATATGGAAATTTGGGGAAAAGAAAACAGTACAGGGGATTAAGCTTAGTTTCTTAAAATTACTACATGTATTGAGATTCAAAACTGTAGCATCATTTCTGAGATTGAACCTTTTGAAAAATTAAGTTGAAGAAAAGATCGGGGATTATAGCTAAGCTTTTTAGGTGAATCTCCTTTCAAATCTCTTTTGTTTTTCCTGTGCAAGGAAATTGTTTATTTACTTTTATATACAATATGTCATTTATGTAAACATTCAAAATGTTTCCAATTGCATTCAGCCTATGTGTGTGCATGTGTGTGTGTATGTGTGTGTAGTGAGACAATCAAACAGAGCTAGAGGGGGTGACAAAAAAATAAAATAATGAATGTCTTCACACATTGCCTACTTTAACGGAGATCCTAGGACAATATGAACCTGGGTTATTACCTCAGGAAAGGGAGGGTAGGTCAGGTGTTCTAAGGGAGCTGATGTAGTAATTTGATCACAGTATCTTATTTAAGAGAACCAGAGCATCGGAAACACTGTTGTCTCCCTTATGTGAAGATAAAATGAGTATATATTTCTCTCACTCCTTCCTTCCTTCCCCTTTCATACCTCCTACCGTGGGTTTCGCTTGTTGTGTTGACTCCATATTTCCCTTTTCTCGGCTTTCAGACTGATGCTGCTCTAATGTATGATGCTGTGCACGTGGTGTCTGTGGGCGTCCAACAGTTTCCCCAGATGACAGTCAGCTCCTTACAGTGTAATAGACACAAACCCTGGCGCTTCGGGACCCGTTTTATGAGCCTAATTAAAGAGGTATGTCAGAAGAAGCACATCTGCCTAGTCTCTTTTGTCCTCAAGGTGAATGCATTGAGATTATTTCAGTTTTCCTAACAGGTGACCTTTTCCCTTTATCTTTTGAATTAAACTTACTGTCTTCCTCCATACAGGCAAAATTAACAATTTAACTAAATGATGTGGGACAAAAGGGGGAAAATTACATGACAAATAAATGGGTATCTTTCAGAATATCTATGATTGTGTAAACAGATGAAAGTGACCTATGATTCATGACATTGTTAGTTTTCACCTTCCTGAATCTTTATGTGTATTACTTTTCATTTATGTGGAGATACAGTTTAAAGAATGTTCATATTTTAGGCAACAGTTTTTAACATGAATGCCATTTGCACTCCAATAAATCATATGTCTTAAAGAATTGTTATTTAGATCTATGGTTCCTAAATATAATGTCTAGTTATTTTAATTCTATTAGCAGTTAACATAAAACAGATACCTGGATTCACAAGAGTGCAAAGTTTACTTCATATTGCCTAATGCAATCATTCTTATGGCCATTTATCATTTCTGATTACAACTGTTATGGTTATAGACCAAGAATGCCCACAGTGAAGAAAAAAAAGGCAAAATTCTGAAGATCACACACACACACACACACACATACACACGTTATTCCTAGTTATCCTATCATGAAGGAAATCTTATGTCAGCTTAGGATACATTTCATTTGATTATAACAGGAGTTTTTCTATGAAAATGTAACTGGAAAAATTTAATCTTTGCTAGGAAAATCACAGGGATTATCCCCATATAAGATTTTTCTTAATGGCTTTAAAGAAATCATCAATTCAGCATATAATAAATTATTCATCTCGAAAATAAAAGTGAAATTGGGTCATAATTAAGAATCTCCAGGTCCTTTGCCAAGAATATCCAGGAATTTTCCTTGTGTGATTTTTAATGTCCTCTCAGATGGGTGAAATGACACTCCCTGATGAATATGTAGTTCATTTATTTGTTTCACATTCTACCTTTATGTCTGGTTTAAAACTGAGCATCGGAGAGCTGCAGACATAGTGCACGGGTTTGGCTTCTGAAAGAACTGCTTTCTGAGTGCAGCACCTGAGTATTGAGGTGTGTGTCACACGGTCCTATAAGAAACAGTTGTATGAAACTCACTACTGGATTCATCATAAGTTGTTGTCGAGGACGTTGTCCACTAACTCACATGGTGAGCCTCTTTATGAGGACCAACAGGAGACATTCCTCGCAGGTTTTAATGCCAGGAAAAGCTGAGCTTCTCCTGGGCAGTTGGAACGTCTCAAATTATGGACCCTGTATATTGTGTTTATATCATATTTTCTTCATTGCTTTGGTGTCTAGAAAGTTCAGAATTAAATTTGTGATTGTATTTTGTTAGTTGTGCATTCTTACCCGATAAACATTTCTTTATGCTGCCTCTATCCCAGATTGTTTTTTTTAACTATTGTCTACTTATACTTCTGTATTTCTTGATCAAATTAACTATTTTTATACTAATATGCATTTTTGTTAATCACCTTAAATTATTTTCTTTGGAAAAGGATGGGTTAAAAATATCTTTTGCTTCCTTATTGGAGACCAGTTAACACATGTTTAAACTCAGTGATGACATGTTGCTGTATGTATATAGATATGTATTATAATTGTTTCTGTTTTATTTGTAATTTATTAGCCTAAAACTATTTTCGAATCCTTATACCTAAGAACAGAAATACATGTAGACTAACAAATGTAGCAATAATGATATCCATTTGTAGTCCTTGTTGAAAGGTTACCCATAATCTATTTGGTTTCATTTCTTTGGATCTTGGTGTAGATTCTTTCAAACATTATAGTTGTGAGTATGTTACATTATTTAAAATTTTCATATGTAACTATTTTCCTAAGCTATTTCCAAATGGCAAATAATGGAAAACATTATTTTTTTTTATATAGCCAGGAGAATGAGAAGACTTTTTGTATTTAAAAAAAAAAAAACCCTCAGAAATTTGCTCACCTGTGATGGGTTCAACCCATTATGTAATTAGATTATTATATTTTTACTTCCTTCTACATAGAAATCTCCTTTTACAGGAAGTATAGCTTGATATGAAGTAATTTTGATATATTTCTCCCAATCTCACTTAAGGGAAAATAAAGTAATAAGTTAATTATTCTAAGAGGAAAGTGTATAATTGAAGTTATATAATGTAGGTTTTCCTAAATTCAGTTTCTTTCTCTGTAATAAAATAAGTTTATGTTCGTATTATATAACAGTAATTCTGTTTGCAATCTCCAGTCACACATTCACTGTCTCATGTATTATAATAAGTGACTAAATTATTCTGTTTGCAAAAGGAGATTTGCTTCTTAAAACAATCTTCAAATTTCTCATAAAAATTATACATACAAAATGCATTATTTTAATATAATAAGTTTTATACTGAGACTAAGACAATATCTGTAGACAAAAATCTTCCAAAGTTTAGAAGAGGAAAAAATGTTTTAAAAATCAGTAGTGATGTCAAGGGGCGCCTGGGTGGCTCAGTCGTTGAGCGGCTGCCTTTGGCTCAGGTCATGATCTCAGGGTCCTGAGATTGAGTCCCGCATCGGGCTCCCTGCTCAGCGGGAAGCCTGCTTCTCCCTCTCCCACTCCCCCTGCTTGTGTTCCCTCTCTTGCTGTGTCTATCTCTGTCAAATAAATAAAATCTTTAAAAAAAAAAATCAGTAGTGATGTCAATTTATGAGAAGTAATGAAAATAATGTTTCTTATTTTTTGTGTGTGAAAAAAATGTTTTATCGTCCTTTACTTGTTAATCCTTTGTATGTATGTATGTATGTATGTATGTATGTATTTATTTATTTTATTATTATTTTTTTTTCCTATAGGCACATTGGGAAGGTCTCACAGGCAGAATAACTTTCAACAAAACCAATGGCTTACGAACAGATTTTGATTTGGATGTGATTAGCCTCAAGGAAGAAGGTTTGGAAAAGGTACTTGAGTCATTCAACTTATTTACTTTAATTATTAAATGAAACAGATCCCAATGAAGAAATAAGGAAATATTCCCTCTTGTAGTCACATTTCGTTAATATTTAACTTTATTGACTAACTCTTAAAATACATATTCAGTTCATTATATTGAATATAATAATTGAGGATTAGTATTCAAGCATAAAAAATGTCTTAAGACAATTAAATATTTTATTTTCTCACCAAGTTTTTCTTATACTGTGAAATGCATATAATCTTTATTAGCCTTAAGATTTAATATAATAATTAAAAATATTTATACTTGTATTTGCATAGACTTTCCTATTTGGAGCAGGTCATAAAGATTAAATACAGAAGCATATTTCCATTGCTGGGCCATATTCAAATGAAATGTCTGACTTAATGTACACAAAGTAAATTAGGTAAGAACATAAATACATTACACTGGTCTATCTTATTTGATTCTATATCTAGGGTAAAGTCAGACAATGATTACAGAATTTGGGTATATGCTTACTTTGAAAATATTTTAGTGTAAGTTATTTAAATACAAATAATATAATATAAATATACATAATAATATAATAATATAAATATACATAATATAATAACATAATAATATAATAATAATATAAGTATAAATAATATATGCATTAATATATTTTTCTGATAGACTCATTGAAAGTTTATTAAAATATATTTTTATAAGAACTTAAGAAAATAATTATATTTGACTGAGATAATATTGTTTTCAAGATAATAAGGTGTCTTATATTTCATCTAGCTATTAAACATGAAGCATTACTTATAAATGGAAACTAAAGAAGGAAATTGAGTCAGAAGAAGGGGTCTTTTAACCTAAGAGACAGTAGCATATTTGAATGTTGATTCAAATGATTCTGGAGAGAGAAAACATACATTTTTGATAATGTTGCCAAGGTAGGGAGAAATACATCATGACCAACTGACGACTAAAGTTGACAGGAATATTACCTCCACCCACTGAGAGTTTTAGATTGTACCCTTTAAAAGACCATGCAAAATAACAAACTGCAAACCAAATATGCATGCAGCAGTCACTTCCTAACTGCCTTTCTCCCATGATGAGAATATTATTCTATACCCAAGACTGGAATTGATAATGGTGTGGTTTAGTCAGCTCTTAATGGGTTTTATACCAGTATTTACCGGAGTTGTTATCTTATTTTCTTGGACGTTTACAAGTCACTAAGATGAGCTTTGGCCATTGTTTGTATTTCAATACATCAATAAAGAAATGGCAATGACTTTCTTGTTACTGTAGGCCCTGTAAAGGACACATTAGAGAAGCTTTCTCTAAGCAATAGTGGGGATTATAGAAAGACCCTGAATATAATGGTTACCAAGTACATGGGATGATCAACCAGACTGATAAGCAAGATACAGTGTGAATTAGACACGTTGCCTTGAGATTTCAAAAATATTTTGTATATTCCTCTGGCATTTGAAATTTTGTTTTGATAAATTAATTACACACAATCTTTATCTTCAAGGGGCTTTTTATATAGTGATTAGATAACACACTTGAGAATAAATACAATGGAAAATTGTTTCAAGCTTTAAAAGAGTAATAAAAGAGTATTTCTGAAAAAGGATATAATTAAGTAAAGAGTCACGGTATATGAGGTACTTAGAACTAGCCTTTGAATAATGGAGAATTATTGATTGGTAGAGATTGAGTCATTGCAGAAAGCGGTAACAATATGGGGAAAGACATATCATCGTATTTTATTTGATCATTTTATACACACACACACACACACGCAAATATGCACATAGAAGTGGGAGATAGAGCATTTTAAAATGCTAGATTTAGGTCATAAAGTAAGCACCATGTTGAGATGTTTGTGATGTATTAGTATACAATATGAAATCAAAGAGAGAATAGCCTGGAGGTCTATGTATGGGATGTGTGGAAATTTGGATTAATTTTAATATGGAGCCATGAATCTCAAACTATTCTGAGTAGAAGTGAGAGATGAATAAACAGTGACAGAGGCAGCAACTGAATCTTCAGCAGTGTTGTTAGTTCAAGGAATAGCAGAGCATTGGGATTATGCTTTTAAGGAGTAATGGAGGAACCAGGTGATAAAAGTAGGAGAATAAAGGCATCCGTCAAAGATTGATGAAGAAAATAGTGGGGAAAATTATCATTAGAAAGAAATTGGAACAAATCTGAAGAGGCACATAAAGTACTGAGGTTGGGTGAAGGTAAGTTAGAGAGAAGGGGAATTAAAAGTTTGAATCAAATGCTTTCAGTATCTTCAAAAATTATTACATAAGGGGGCGCCTGATTGGCTCAGTCAGTTAAGCGTCTGACTCTTGAATTCTGCTCAGGTCATGATCTCAGCATTGTGAGATCCAACCCTGCATGGGGTTCTGCGCTGGGCAGGGAGTCTACTTCAGATTCTCTCTCTCCCTCTTCCTCTGCACCTCCCCAACCCTCATCGCATGTGCTCTCTCTCTCAAAAAAAAAAAAAAAATAGTACATAAGTCATCAGCTAAAAGAGGGTGGTTGGATTTAGTTTAGACAGATCTTAAGAATAATGGGAATTTTTTGGCAATGCCATTGTGACAGACTTGGCTTTGAGTCGTAGGAATAAGGTGCTGCTAAGTAGCAAAAGGTATGCATTTTTGTAATCTAGTAGAATGGTTAAGAGATCCAGGTATGGATTAAGGCAGAACTGGGCTCAAATCTTTGCTCTGCCATTTACTAGTTATGGACAACTTTCTTAACCTCTCTAAAACACAGTGTCTTAACTGCATCAGGGGGTGATAGCAGTATCTAATTCATGAAGACTAATGAGTCTTGCCAACTTTACTTTTATTTTGTCCTCAAAATATAGTTACCAAACCATAGCTGTAAAGACAGAGTTCCTACCTTGATAGAGTTCACAGTTTGGAAGGTTCAACAGATAATGATCCAAGAGGCTTAAATTCCAATTCCAATTCTGTCACAAGTGTGTGAACTTCACCCTTCCACCCAAGTTCTCTGTGCCAAATTCCTCATCTCAAAAAATGTAGAGTGCAAAGGACTTCCCTCTGGGACAGGCAAAAGTGAGAATACCATGGCCTCTAAGAGAACCTGGAAATGCAATCTTTATAGGTGTCAAGGCTAAGAATTTAATTATCCTATTTTATCATGATTAGGTGAGGAAAATGGATAAAAAAATGTATAAAATGCTAGTTTTATCCATTACTTCTCCTCATGCCTACTGCCTTTTCCTAGCTTTATCTTGGTCATCTTTGTCCAGCACACTTCATTTATTCATTTGATCCTCTAACAAATATAGAGTGAACCTCTATTTTGTGCCCTTATGAAGGTTATATCTTAGTGAAGGGAACCTGCCAATAATAAATGGATGTACAAAGGTACAATATAGGGTTAGGCAGTAATAAGTGCTAAAAAGAAAGATGACTTGTTTATATGTTCAGGGAACTGAGTTTGGGGTTGAAATGAGACTATGAACACATCTTTTCCACTTAGCGCCCCGAGATCAGATTGAATCTTTTCCATTCTATCTTGACAAGAACCTTGGTTGGAACCCAGCCCACTTAGCGATTGTCCAAGAAGAGTCACTAATACTGCAGATGCAGCCAGTCACATCTGTCCAAACAAGCTCCCCAGGCCGTGACAGTGCCTTCTCTGGAGCAGAGGAGGAGGAATAAGGGGGTAGGAGGAAACTGCAGGTGCCATTCCAGATTTTGTCTACCTCCAGCAATAGGACAGTTTGTTTTCTTTAAGTCCTGGTGTTCAGTACCCAAGACTTAGAAAAGGAAAATAAGAATAAGTGGTTTTCCCAGCTTGAATTCTTCTGTTCAGTTCAAAGACCATATTGTGTATTCTACTTCCCAAAGTAGAATTAGATGGATCCTAAACACAAAATGTTTAGGATGCATCTATTTCTCTCCACATCCATTGTTGCAATCATAGCCAGGGTACCTTTCGCCTGGACATCTGTTTGTTGGAGCGCCAACAAACATCTCTGTTCTGTTCCCCCTTACAATTCATTCCCCAGATGACAGCAGCCAGACCAGTGTCTTTTAAAGCAAATCGATCCATGTCATTGCTCTGTTTAAGTCCTTTCACTTATTTCCACTGTATTTTGATTAAAATCCATATTTACAAATATGATTATTGCCTCCCTTCCCCCTCACCTTTCACTACCATCTCAGATGTTTTCTATGCTTTAATTACACTGGCTTTTGCTGCTCCTTTATCCATAGACACAAAGTTTTCTCTATTACTTTGGTAGTAGAATTTTCCCAGCCTGGAAAACCCACCCCTAGCCCTTTGTCTGGCTAACTCTTACTCTTCCCGGGGGGGTCACAGATTAAATCTTTCTTCCTTAGATAGGCGTCACATAAGCCTGACCAAATTTAACTTTCTCATAGAGCCTTGTGCTTTTCCTTCCTGGCACTTATCACAATGTGTAATTATATATGCTCCCAGTCCCACTGTTTACATATTCAAGGCCTAGCAAAGTCTCAGGCACAAAGTATATCCTCAAGAAATATTTATTGACTAGCAAATGAAGGAAGGGTCACCGTAAGAATCATAAGAAATACTTCCCATATTCAAGTGTCTGGTGCAAATTTATTTTCCTATGGCACAGCATTTACTTTATTTTATTTTTTATTTTGTTCCCAATTTGTCCCCTTACCTACACAGTGGGAACAGAGAAATCCAGTGCTTAGTCAATGGGCTGGGGTTGTGAGTCAAGGCTTCAAGGGGTACAGGATTTTAGAATGCCCAAGAAGGCAACACTGAAGTCTGAGCTTGCAAGGATGCACAATGCACCCTCCATAGTACAGTGTAATCCTGATACCCCAGTTCTTCCTCAAAGAGGAAAAATAATTCTTCTATTTATAAAAGTTCCGTTTTTTCATCTTATAAGTTTATGGTACAGAAATAAACGAAGACCACTTAAACGAGAACACACAAGTTATTATTCAGAAC